ACATTTAAATTGATAATTTTTTATTTTCATCTAGAATGAAGTTCCGGAACCTCCTTCAGATAATATTGATGAGGATCCAAAAATAGATTTAAATAAAGTAGAAAACATTGTTTATACGATTTATACTATTGCCTTCAAGGTTCCGACGATTACTGAAGGTCAAGAAGTGAATTGTCGGTTCGTTATCCATCATTTATAATTGTTTTTCATTGAATCAAATGATTGATTGATGATTTAAATGAATTTTGACATATATTTAGGTTACGCCACCTATATACTTTTGCCATGAAATGCCAAACGCGTGTAAAACAAAGTTTAAAAGATTTACAAAAAACCCAAACTAAAGACCAACAAACGATAGAAGTATGTATTACTTTATAATTCTTGTATTTTACAATTCATATTAATTTTTCCTTTTTTTTTTTTATTAGAAAATTAAAAGGGCAGAGAACGTCCAAACCGTGACTCACAATATTTTTACAATGACGAAGGTAAGTTTTGATTGCACTATTGCATTTTACTTTTATATCCACATTTTAATGAAATTAATCATACCTAATTTTTGACTTGATTAGGAATTAATGAAACCTGCGGTTGCACGACATTTCACAAAAGTTGTCATTTCCTGGCGTGCACCACCACAATCGATATCACCACAATCCACGACATCGTCTTCAACGTCGTCGACGCCTTCAACAACAGTGGGTAACAAACGCCCAAATATTAGTTCACCATCAACTCCAAATAAAAAACAAAAGCCGGCACAAATATCAGCAAATACTCCTATTACTACACAGGAACCTCGAGCTCGTCAAAAAATTTCGGTATTTCAAGTAACAAACCATCCTCGTACCGGTCAAGCTAATAAGAGAGTCGGTGGAAATGGTGGCAACAACAGGAGTAACGGTGATGGTGGTTATGGACGAATTGCAAAAATTGCGCGAAATAAGAACAATGAGAAAAACCTATATGTACCACCACCAAGAAGAGGTACGTAAGGTATTTTTATTGTTTTTGTTTTTTTCCTTTTTTTATCTATTTTTTTTTTTTTTTTCCTTTTCTTTTTTGGTATTTTTATTTTATTTTATTTTTTGGTTTGTTATCTTTCGTATGTTGCCACCTTTTCTTGTACGTCTGGAAATTTTTGTAATGTTTCATTTTTTTCTTGTAGCAATATAATAGTAACAGCTAAGCATTATACCAGCAAAGAAATTAGAAGCTGACAGGTTATTAACATTTTTTCTATGAATGTAATATATAATATCTTTAATTAATAAAAAATAAAGAAAAAAAAATTTTTTTTTTTTTTCAGTTTCGGTTTGCTTATTTCATAAAGTTTTTAGTTAAGGTTAAGTTTGATAATAATATTTTTGAACTTTTAATCTATAGCATAATGAGATTTGTTTTCACCGGCAGGGTTTTTGTGATCAGCAGGATTAGGAGTAGCCTCATAAAGAGTTACAATATGATCCTTCTTGATCTATGTAGTCAAACTTTATAATTAGACACTATACGTGGAAAAATTTTGATCCGACTCTTTTAATAGCTTATTTTTATTACTTTTTTTAACTTCTAAATTGTGATCTATCAAAGAATACAAACTCTTGAAATAGTAGTTACACTCAAATTCACTCACCTCAGTCCATTCTCCTTTGAGTCCAATATAATAAACTCTAGTTACTTCATCTCCAAAGTTTTCTGGAAAAAAAAGCGTCAAATTCCTCACATTGTACATTTTTGTCATTCTAAATAAAAATAAAAATAAAAATAATAATAATAAATAAATAATTTAATCGAAATAAATTTAAAAAAATCAAACTTGCAAAATACCTTGTTGGATATTCTACGACATCCGGTGATTGAACTAATTCCCACTCTTGAGTTGCCGTATATCCTTCCACTGTATCAAAATCAACATCCTCTCGATTGATATAACTTAATAAGTTTCAATCTTAATTATTTTATTAACTCAAAGTTTATAAAAATGAAATCTTTTTTAAAGATTGTCAACTTACGCTTTTAATATTGATGGACAACTATTTCCCGACCCTGATTTGATCGAAATCGACTTTAATTTAACGCTGCCAGTAAATCTAAATTTAATGGAGAAGAAATTGAAGATCAAATAAAAGTATAGTAAAATTATGTGGTATCATAAATGAATTACTTACGGAATAAATAAAATTAGTTGTTCATCGACATCACTTTCTACATACTAAATACATATGGTAAATAATACGTCAAGTGAAATATATATATATGAGGTAACGTACTTTACTGGTATCATCTCTTTCGTTCCAAGGTTTTATGACATTTTTTCCTGAATTGGGTTCTTTTTCATTTAAACAACGAACGTTATCACGATCTATACGTGAGTAAAGTGAATCTTCGGTTCCACGATCTGGTCCGTCGTGATCATGATCGTGATCATGATGTCCATGACCGTCTTGAGAATGGCTGTGTTCGTCCCTACAATGACTCATTTTCCTTTTTTACGAATCAACTTGGAAGAATGTAAAAAAAATAAAAAGGTTTATGTTATCCGTCAATTTTCATTTGCATTTTCAACGTAAAAAAAATTCTTAAATGATTGGTCAGTTCATTTAAGCTAAATCTTTTTGTTATTAATATGCATAGCAAAATTAAATTATAAATTACTAAATCATATGGGGCAGACTGCAACAAAACCAGACAAAGTGAACATTGATCATGTGAGTTAAAATAGGCTGATGTGGCTAGAAAATGAACTAATTTAGCTGATGACATTTTGGTAAGGCTTTGCTTAATTTATAGCTGTGGCTCATGCACTAATTAAGACTAAATTTTAGTGACATTTTAGACCTATTGCTAGTTCTAAGCGAATGTGACTAGCATTCATGTATAAAAGCAAGATGAATTCACATTCCAAAAACAAAAACACTTTGCTGCAACGTATTTTCAACTACTCAAAAAGACATACTAATACATGGTTTCTTCTAATTGCGAGCAAACCATTTGCACTATTCAAAAAGCTTATCATTATATTCTGATCAAAGCAGCCACATGTGATTTTACATCAAAGGAAAGACGCGTGTCGTCATCATTACGTGATCACACTTTCCGCCCAATTATAGTGCTAGATTTAGATTGATAATCTGGTTTCTAAAACGCAACTTCTATTCAAAATGGATGCAACGGACAGGGTAGTAATCGTCTGGGCCATACTCAACAACAATTCTGACAATTACCTTTACGACTATCTTACCTAGCGAGAAGAACAATCTTCTTTTACGGAAGATTGCCAGCTTGAGCACGATGATTATTTGGCCACTCTTCAGAAAATTGTGAACCATAAAGCTAACGCAAAGATAGCTGTCGTTACAGATAAGTTTGAGGTCAAGCGGTTGTTTTTTCTTCTTTAGGTTTACAACTTTCCAATCTTTCACCTAACAAGCATATCTTATGGCTATTCTTGTGATGAACTTCTGGTTCAGTGGAAGATCGATTTAGGCTTAGCCAAGCAAGAGCATCTTATGGCTGTTCTTGTGATGAACTTCTGATTCAGCTAAGATCCTTGGATATCGGACTTCATTTCATCCAGTAAGAACATCTTATGACTGTTCTTGTGATGATCTTTTGGCTTGGATAATCTGGATCTATATCTATAAAACTGTAATGCCTAATGTAATTTTTCACCCTTACTCCTGTACTTACTATTTTCCTCTCTTGAAAGGTAGAGAAAAAGTCAGCGGCTGTTTCTGGATTTTGAAAAAGAATTGATGAAGAGCGAAAACAGAGGGAAGAAGAAAAAGCTGCAGTACGAACGGCTTCGTTAGGGCACCTTAATATTATCAGTCGAGCGATACGTACCGGTACTGAAGTGAATTCGTTTGTAGGAGACCCTTTTCTGAATTGTATTTTCTAATCTCTTTATTGTGACCAGCTTACCACATATGAGCCCTGAATACGTAGAAATTTAGTTACACAAGACAGTGACGACGTTTTAGGTGAGCAGAACAACCAAGAGGAAGTCGAAGTTATTAGAGATGTCGAAAGGGAATCTAAAACCAATGGCTCACTCGTTTCCTCAGTGGTTATGCAAGAAGTCTCAAGTTCGTTTTTGCCAAAACAAGTGCGTGTAAATATAAAAAACATTATGCATGTATATACTTTATGAGCAGAAACGGTATAACTCACCATAACTCTATTTTGCTTTCTATCCTTAATTTTAGCCAAGAGATGAGGA